AGGTGGAAGAAATGAGAAGGTAGAAGAGCTGAACAGAAATTTCAAAGATCAGCTCGAGAAGATAAAGCCAAATATTACAACAAAGTGTACAAAGATCTGGAATCAGAAAACCAAAAAGGAAGAACACGCTCAGCATTTCTCAAGCTGGGGGAACTGAAGAAAAAATTCAAGCCTCGACTTTCGTTATTGGGAAAATTAAATAATTGGCACTTAAAAAAACAAAAACAATTATTTTCCTTCTCTATCGTTCCCAGTTTGAGAATAGAAACAGAGAAAAACAAGCAAAATCCCAGACTTGGCCATTGACGTACAGTGAACCTATATGCTACCTAGTAGAACTGATACACAGGGTTTCCTTGACTGAAATCTTGTTGGAAGTAAATTTCCAGGTCTTTTCTCCTACAGGGTCTGAAGGTAGATTCTAACCGCCAGCCTTTAGGTGAGCACTCAATTGCAAACTGCTTGTTTCACCCAGGGACTCTGAAAGAAGTGAAAAAGAAAGGAATTCTGAATTAAACAGGGGTTTTGCCTAAGCCATAGTTTATGCAACAAGGAACCCATCTTTCAAGCACATAAACTCTTAAAATTTGTTAGTAACTTTTTTTTTCTCTTAGAATGAAGGAAGTTTTGTTCTTTATTTCTTTTGTTAGCAGACATATTTTATTAGGAAATTGAAAACACATACAGAAATCCATAATCATCAGAAAATAAAATAGACAGTTCCGCAACAGTGCATGAGAGCTCCAATCTCTTCACACCCTTGCCAGTATTTGTTTTTTTTTTTTTTAAAACTTTCATTGTGAATTATGTGATCGTTTACATGGGAGAACATTGGCTCTACATTCATCCTATTGTATACCATTAAATTGCCATGGTTACAATCCCCTCAATGCATCATCAACCAACCAAAGGGTACACCCCTCAAGCCTGCACCCTGGTCGTCAGCACACAGCCCCTCTTCCTCTCTGGGTCTAGAGTTCCCAGCCCAGCCGTTCCATCTCTCCAGGTCATCGTCTCTGCCTCCATCTATGGCATCACTGTTTTTCTGGGTAGGGTCCCGCACTCCTCCGTTCTTCTCCCTTGATGGTTCCAGGGGCCTCCACTCCTGGCCTGCAAATTCACCCAATCCCCTCCTTTTGCTGCAAAACGTCTACATTTATATTTCCAACCGTCACAGTCAGCCCTGATAGCAATTATTCACAATTATGATTGCAATCCCCATCTCCTTTCATCAGTCCCGCCCAGACAGATTGGATACTACTCAGTGGAGATTCTACCTACCTCTGTGCCCTCTGGATCTAGGCTCCCTCTTGAAAGCTTGCCTTTGTACCCCCCATATTTTGGGTAGCCAATGTCCAAGTTGCCCATCCCTGTCTACTCTGTGTATGGAGGGGGTGGGAATGATCCTCGCAGTAAAGATTTGTTCCTTCTTTTGAGCTACTGCATCCATAGGTGTAGGTCAAGTTTATCAAATTGTATCAGATTACTCTTTTTTTTCCTCTTCTTTCTTCATCTAGTTGAGTATTAGTAACTTTTATAACATAATCTTCTTGGTATAATTCACCAAGAATAGGAGTCGTGTATCTTGAGCACTGCGTCAAACAATCTAACAAGCACATAGTTTCCTCAGCATACATTTCCCACCAGAGTAGCTTTTAAGAAATAGAAGTCAAGAGTACGGTTCTAGATGACTTTGATTGGAGTGTCTTTGGTCTGTGTTTACCAAACTAGATATAGATGACTTATTTTAGTCATAAAGGCAAAACCTTGTTGATCTTTTCAGTGGCCTAATAGGTATTCTGTGTCTCTGGTTCTGTTTCACAGTGGGCTGTCTTCTGGCCTGAGAGTATTCCCTATCAGAACCTTGGTCCCCTGGGTCCCTTCACTCAGTACTTGGTGGACCACCATCAGACCCTCCTGCGCAATGGGTAAGGAAATCGGCAGAAATGGGAAGTGGTCCCAGGAGCTCCAGGCTCACTGAAGATCCGGCAGGCGTGCACTTGCATTTGTATTTATCTTAGAGGGGGCTGATTTATTAGGGCCCCTTTCTTTTTGAGATTCTCTGTTAAATTTCATCGGCAAATCACCACCACCATAAACTAGACTAATTTTTTTTTGTTACAGGTATTGGCTTGCCTGGCTGATTCATGTGGGGGAGTCCTTGTATGCCATGGTGTTATGCAAGTAAGTCTTGGTAATATGTCTGTCACCTTCTTGGTGTCTGCTATAGGCTGAGAGTAGCCACACTTAAATAATTCATGTACTTGTAGGCTAAGAACACTCTCAAGTAGAGTCAAATCCCCATGCCCAATACTGAGCCTGGCCTAGAGGGAGTGTTCAGTAAATATTTGATGGATGAGTTTACTTTGTGTTAATTGATTATTTAGTTGTTGAACTTAGATGATTTCTGTTACTGCAATTTTTTTCTGTATACCTCTGGGGTTCAAGACCAGCTGAGGGGAAGGAGGCAGTTGCTGTCTTCTCTAGGTCATTCTGTCTTTTCACAAGTGCTGGTGGTCGTTATGTGCCATGGAGTCCATGCCTACTCATAGCGACCCTGTATAGGGTTTTCGAGGCTGTTAATCTTTATGGGAACAGAAAGCCTTATCTTTCTCGCTGGAACAGCTGGTGGTTTCTAACTGCTGATCTTGAGGATAGCAGCCCAACTTGTAACCACTATACTATTGTGAGAGTACGTAAATGACTACTGCCTTGTGACCTGGGCCAGCTGGACCCCGTGTGTGCTGTGTGGTTCTCCCTCTCCACAGGGTCTTTGGTGGATTTGGGGGAAATTCTTCATCACTAGGGATCTGTAGTTTCTCAATGGCTCTTTCAGATACCTCCTCCAGCATGCCACTCACAGTTCTGCCTTCAAAACCCTCTACCTATTTATGGAGGTCTTTACTGTCCTCCAGTCAGGTCTGTGGGACAGGGTTTCTTTTAAACACACTCATACCCAGTTTCTTTTTTCAAGATCTGTGTTGCTTGTAGTAAACTGCTTCCTTATCCCTTCAAACTCTAGGATGCACACAGTGTCCACTGCAGCCACGTCTCTGCTCTCCCACCAAGCCAACTACACCAGTCCTTACACTGAAATAATTAGTCAGGCACTCGTCTCTTCATCCCCCAAGTTCTCGGGGACGTAGGACAAACTTGCCAAGTGGCCCCATTGCAGCCGTTCTCTGGGCTTGGCCTGTGGTGGGAGATGCTGCCCCGCTCTAGTACCTCTTTCCAGTTGGCCTCCCGGTGAAATCATAGCTTGGAGATGAGGACTCAGCCCTGCCGTGAGGAGGAGGAGGAGGAGGAGGACCTGACACCTGTTTTGTTCTCGGCATGTGGAGCATCTTATGAAAACCAGGAGTCAATTTTAATATCCAACTATACAATTTTTTGATGGGAGGGGGGAAAATAGGCCCTGTTGTCATGTTCTTGAATCATTTCTTTCTGATCTACTATTCTGGAAGGTATCCTGGACGCTAAGCCTGAATGAAAACTCTTTTGAATTATGAGATGAACAAATTTAAATGAGTGAATGAATACATGAAGATATGTAGTGATTTTTGCCTCCTCCCAAGTTCCACCCCCCAGGATTAACAACTTACAATATTTTGGAGAATTCCATTTTAACCAGAGATAAGATTGAACTGTACTCTGTAAAGTAAGCACTGGACTTCTACTCCTGGTGTGGCATTGTAAGATCAGCACTGGACTGTGAACCACACAGTCAGCAGCGCAAACCCACCAGCTACTCCTTGGAAACCTCATACAGGATCGCTCTGAGTTGGAACCAACTGGACGACTGCAAAAACCATGTGAAGACCATACGTGACTTCCCCTAGCCTCACACGGAGGAAGAGAATCCAATTCAGAATCAGCCCAGGGCCGATTCCTATGAAGCACAGGTCAGACATGCTTGTATCCTATAAACCTTCTTTACCCTGTTCCGACACCAACCCTCCTTCCCACAGCACTCTCTGCTTCACATCCGGTTCAATAATCCTTTACAGTGGCCACACAACTCATAACAGATTCTCACAATTATGGGGTTTACTAGGGAAGTGAACAGGGTACAATTCAGCATCTAAACCCACTCAGGACGCAGCAGTTCTCCATCAGGAACGCCTCTTGTCTGCCATATTGCAGGCATGCCTCACTCTTGTCTTCGGCCTCTCAGTCATGTGGTTCCTTGGCTACTTGCTCAGGCCAGTGTTACAGAGTTCTTGTAGCCAGTCTGTAAATGTCCAGAGGGCACATTCTGTAAGCCAGTCTCCTGCCTTACTTACAGCAGGTTCTCCGCTGTACTCACAACCTGGGCCTAAAGCCTGAAGCTGCTCTGTCTCTCCATACCACCACCTTGGCCGTTGCTGGTTTTCTAGGTAGGAATCTCATGTTCTTCACTCATGCTCTTCCTTCTGGATGATCCTGGGATCTTTCGTCTCTGCTTCTGAGGTGGCTTCTTTAAGCCTAGCTGGAGGACAAAATTAACCATTCTCAGACTATATACCTTATTTGTGTGGTCCCACATAATCACTTTGTGCAACTTCAGATGACTTTGGATAGGAAAGCCATATTAAGTAAATTTAAGGCACCACTGTAGCACAAGGAGCTCTGGTAGCGTAGTGGTTATGAATTGGGCTGCTGATCTTATGGTCGGCAGTTCAAAACTACCAGAAGTTCCGTGGGAGAAAGATGAGGCTTTCTGCTCCCGTAAAGATTTACAGCCTCAGAAACCCTATGCAGGGTTGCTATGAGTTAGAACTGAGTCCACGGCACATAACTACTACCGCCGCCAAAGCACTTAACAACATATAATAATCATAATACTTTCCTATGCTGTAAAAGTCTCTGGGTATAGATAATTTAAAATTTATATTCTGTTTTTCTTATTTATTTAAATAATCTATCAATAAACTCAATTGTTAACTAATTTTCATTGTTACAAGCAGTGCTATAATTGTTTTTTAAAATAACACTTTTTATGTGTTTCTGATTTGCTTCCGTAGGCTCAATTCCTGGATGTAAAATTACTAAATGCAAAAGTAGGAACTGTTTTCAATCTCTTGATACGTACTGAATGATTTTCACTAGTGTTCTGTGAACGTTGCCATTTTAAGAAGACAAAAACCTAAGTCTTTGCAATTTTGATAGATTAAAAATGGCACTTGGCCATTTTGATTTGCCTTGGTTTGTAAAAGCAGTTTGAATTTTTCTTTGAAAGATCCGTTACAATATATCTTATAACATAGTAACATTTCAACAGCAATTTTAGGAATAAATTTAATAGCAGCTCTTTTAAGCCAACATTATTATTCACTCTTACCTTGTAATATTAGAGTCCTGGTGTGGCGCTGTGGGCTAGTCAGACTGCAAAGCTGTTTGAACTGCAAGGTCGGTGGTTCAAGCTCACCATCTGCTCTTTGGAAACCCTATATAGGGTCACTATGGGTCGGAATTGACTCGACGATACTTAACAACAACAACAACCTTTTAATTTTATGGAGTTTTCTATTCATGATACATGGTTCTTATTTTCTTAGTTCAGAAACTAGATCTTTGCTGTGTATGAACACGTTTGCCTGGCAGCCCCTAGAGGGGTTTATCAGGTGTACAAAAGTTCGTAGCTGAGTAGTTAGATCAGAATCCAGAAACAGGGCAGTGGTGGTTCTCAGCATGCAGATAGACCCTGTGATCCGGCAGCCGTCGGTAATCAAACTGATGTTGTTGTTGTTGTTAAGTGCCGTCGAGTCGGTTCCGACCCATAGCGACCCTGTACAGGATAGTTGTGACATTTTTCCGGTGTCATAAAGGACTTTTTCCTGGGGCAGGGAAAGACATATACTCACAAGCAAAGGTGATCTTACCTACCTGAACTGTCGAAGAATCACTAAGGGAGACACCAAGTAAATTAAAAAGCCTTTTAGAGAGACAGAGCGAAGTAAAATGGCAGGTCGGGCTATGTAGAGATCAGCTTATGAGGGTCCCAGGAAACTTTCCTGAACTGGTCCACACACCCAGCTTTCATTCCTTGGGGTGTGATGCTGCAGAATAAGACTGCAAACTCACCAACTGTTCCATGGAAACCTTACACAGGGTTGCTTATTTGTTGGAACCCCCCAAACGGCATTTAACTAGAAGAAGAAGAACGCAGAAACAGGAGCTGCCTTTCAGTGGGCCTGATGTTCCGAGGTGGCTATCTAAGTCTTCCTTTCCTCAGTATCACATTTATTTCTGTTGTTGTGCCATCGAGTCAGTTCTGACTCAGCCACCCAATGCAATACATCATTGGATTTCTTTTGACTTCTATTTCCATTGTCATTAAATTGTGGATTCAAGTAAAATGAAATCTTTGACAACTTCAGTCTTATCTCCATTTATAATGATGTTGCTTATTGGTATAGTAGTGAGGAATTTGGTTTTATCTTATGTAATCTGTACTGAAGGCTGTAATGTTTGATCTTCATTCCATAAGTGCTTCAAGTCCACTTTACTTTCAGCAAACTAGGTTGTGTCATCTGCATGTTGCCTTCCTCCAATCTCGATGGCACGTTCTTTGTTTGTCTAGTTTCTCATATTTGTTCAGATTGAGTAAGTGTGGTGAGAGGATACAACACCGTCGCACACCTTTCCTGGTTTTATGGTCCACACAGTTGAATGCCTTTGTATAGTTGATAAAACACAGAAAAACATCTTTTTGATACTGTCTGCAGTCAGTCAAGATCCATCTGACATTAGCAATAATAAGCCTCTTTTCATATGTTCTCCTAAATTTCATATATACTGCTGAAGGAACTTGATTACTAGCCTTGATGGCTTCCTGGTGAACAACTTGCTTATTCTTGTAGTAGCCAGTCATGCTGACATTTTTGTTTTGGGTTTTTCCTGATGATCTTTCTTTGAAGATGTATCTTGTAGATGTATCTGTCATTGTAGCTGTTCGAAGCTGGTCTGCTTGTCCTTGCTAGTGGGAATGTCCCACCTCATAAGGTTTTGGATGGGACTCAGGATTCCACCTAAGGTCCTATACTCTGTAAAGGCTTTGCATGAGGCCT